ATACACATGGCCCCACCAAGGAGAGCCGAGCAAACTATGGAGTTTCTTTCCCCTCCAATCAGAAGTGTGAATGGTGGGGAATGGAACCATACCCTTGGTTTCAGAAGGAAAGCACCCTGATCTCCTGTTCTTGAGGACAGTGCTCTCCATTGCCCCGTGTCACAGTACCTTTCCCTATAGTGCAGTGCACCCAGAAGGAACTCTATAGTTTGCTGGGTCATTCTGCTTGGCCGGGCTTGGGGCCCAGCTGCTCCCACTAGTCAGTGAAATGGACTGTGTATGGTGTCTAAGATGGAATATGCATTGATTTGTGACCCTGAAAGCAGCCCACATTAAGAGTCACACTGATGGAGTTTGTTGGGACACTTTCACCCTCAGCACTGTGGAAAACACACTGCCCCTGCCCTGTGAAGGTGTGCGGTGCCACATCACCCTGCTTCTCAGTCTGTCCTGTTGTCCCAGATCGCCAAAACACACAAAGTTCCGATGTTCTCTCATAATCACTCACCTCACAATACACCTGCTACTTTGATGGTTTTGTGGGGAGGAAGTCAATGCCAGGCATCACTATTCTGTCATTTTGAATGCAGACCCCTCCCCACTCCCTGGTTGTCCTCTTTCCAGTTTGACAACCCTATTCTTCCCAAATATACATGTTATCCAAGATTTAGAAAATTTCAGTACTTGTTTAATTATACATCTGTGTTATGGGGTTTTTTTTTTTTTTGTTCTATCACATATTTTCTAGAACCCCAACAATACAATATGAGCTAACTTAACCATCTTTCACAAGTGTTCATGACATTCTTAGTTTCCTTTTTGACCAATATATAAAGAGATCTACTTTCAGGCTTGGAATTCAATCTTCAGTTGATCGGTTAGGGTGTTGAAATGCTCAGCTCTTCTTTATTACACTTGTTCTTTAGCTTTGTGATTATGAGTGTATGTGTGTGTGTGTGTGTGTGTGTGTGTGTGTGTGTGTGTGTGTGTTCCTCTAGTGCTCTCCACCTTATTTTTTGAGACAGAGTCTCTCACTGAACCTAAAATTCAGCAATTAGCTATAAGCTGCCTGGCCAATAAGCTCTGGGGGTCTGCCTTTCTCCCTGTCTCTGCCGTGCTGCCAGGGGAGTGTCTGGACTCTGAACCTGGGTCCTCATGCTTGCACAGCAAGTTCTTTACCTTTTTAAATGAGCTCTACCTCTCTACTCTCTACTGAATTTATTCATTTTGTCTATTACTATTTTCATTAAACTGTATTCTATTGTTTCTCACTAAGTTTCCTTAGTATCATTTTGATTTGTGTCAGGAAATTCATCAAGCCCTTTTGTACAGGGCTTGCTGCTAGAAAACCACTGTGTTCCCTTGGCAGAGCTGTGTTCTTTCTTTCCATGCTTCTGTGTCCTTATGTTGCAGTTCATGCGTTTAGCTGGGCGGTTGCCTCTACCAGTTTTATACGGTTGTTCTTGTCGCAAGACTTTCTCTTGACACTGACTGTCCTTAGGTGTTGCTTGGATATGCTGTGTTGCCTTTCATTCCAAGAGTATGCTTTGGTATGGTGTCTGTGCTCTGTCACCTCTTTGGTTGTAATGGATATTGCCAAGGTATGCAAATTCCTCAATGGAAGAGGCTGCGTGATTTGTGGGATTGTTCCACCAGCTGAGACACAAGCTGTCTTAGCAGCTCAGGACAGTGTGCCTGACTAAAGCCATGAAACACCCACCAGTATATATAGCCATGGGTAATAGGGCTGTCCTAATGATCCCAGGAGGGTGCAGAGCTGTAGCATTCTTGGCAATATGAGGAGTACACAGTGACTTCAGGGGCCTCCCAGGTCCAGTCTGCTCAAGAAGTACTGCCCAGCTACTTCCTAGGGCAAGATGAGAAGAACTAAATGTCTACTTCCCAGTGCCCCAGAGCTCTGAGCTTCTGAGAAGTCTATTCAGCTGTTTCTTGGAGCCACAGGAAGATGGGTGGGGGCACTGAGTTTCTTCTGGGGCCAGAGTGGCTGAACTCCTCAAGAGTTGGCTGTTTCCTAGTCAGCTGCACCTAGGCAAGGAGAGGAGGACAGGGCAGAGGCTCAGACACTTCACAGGATCCCAGGTTGGTAAGTTCTCAAGATGGCTTTCTGTGTGACAGCCTGAGTGGGGGACAGCACTGTATGGAATGGGATTATTTCTTCACGGCAGTACACCAGCTGTGGGTGCAGGGCCTGTGGGGGCTGCAGGGCTCTCTAGCAGTAAACACTTCAGGTATCTGGGGTATGAGTGGGGTCAGCCAGGGGTCTTTTTCCCCTCATGGAGCAAAGTCCCTTTTACTTCAGTGTCTCAATAGATGGCATGGAGGTGCTGTGTGCTTAGTTCCAGCTCCCTTCTCTTGGGCCAGTTCCCCCAAGCACTGTCTCAAACACTCCACTGAGGAAATGGTTGTTTCCCCTTGGTTTGATCATTTGTTGTGAAGCGTATACTGCAACCACAAAATGTATGTGGGTTTTTTCTGTTGCTGTTGTTTTGAGACAATATCTCATTCTATAATCCAGGCTGGCCTCAAATTTATAGCAATCCTTCTGCCTCCACCTCCCAAATGTTGGGATTACACACGAGTCATTTTTTTTTTAAAGGAAAACCTCCTACCTCCCAGACATGGAAGAGCTCCAGGGGGATCAGAATAAAACTGGTCCCAAACATCACAGTGGCTATGCATGGCTCTGTGGCCAATGTCACACCCAACAGTTTACATAGCTGGTACGTGAGTGGTAACACATGTGGAAAGCCTCACCTGGGGTAGCCTTAGCTGTGTCAGCCACTGGCCTGTAGCATATGAAATGACAAAATGTAAAAGGATGGCCTGTTTCTTAAAGGGTAGTGTTCCTGGAAAGGTAGACAATAAAGACCACGCATTCCCTCATGTTATAGAAGGAGAGGTGGTGAGGTGAGTTCTAGAGTCCACAGAGATGACCCAGATCATGTTTTGCAAAGTGTTCCATGGAGGAAAATGTTTTACACAGAGAAGATAAGGCCTAGCACTCACCCAGCTTGCATGTGTGTATCTGGAGAGGTGTCTATAGGACAGTGGGATCGTGCTTGCTCCCAGTTTACATGCTGAATCTGAGTCCTTGAAACTTGCTTAGGGAAAAACCTCTCTGTAGGCTGAGGGCAGAACACAGGCTACCCAGGACACACTACTGTTTCCCTGATGAGCTTTTAGATTCCTGTTTTGTCTCGAAGGCCTTTACCACATAGTTATTTACTAACTGATTCAATTTAAACTAGCTAATTGAGTTAAAAAAAAAAAAGAGTCGAGGGAAAACTACAGATTTGATTTCACCAAATCACTACATTAAACTCAGTAGTTAGAAGTGACAACATCAGTATCGTATGCTGTGACACAATGGGAAATGACCAAAGGTCATCTTTCCCACAGTGGGTTTTTGTGAGTCAGTCCTCTGTGATTATGATAAATACTTGAGATAATTAATTTATAAAGTAAAATGGTTTATTTTAGCCTACAGCTTGAGTTTTCCACCCACAGTTAGTCCCATTGCTTTTAGGCCTGCGGCGAAGCAGTTATGGTGTGGCAAAAGCAGAGTGGGGTAAACTGTCACCTCGTGGGCAGAGAGAAGAGGCCCCACCATCCCCTTAGTGAGCATGCTCCCGCCGCTTCTAGTTTGCTTTTCAATTGCTATAATAAAAACACTGACCAAAACCAACTTGGGGAGGAAAAGGTTTATTTCATCTTACGTCTCCCAGGTTCATCATTGAGGAAAGCCAGGGCAGGAACTCAGGGCAGGAACCTGGAGCACAGACCAGAGAAGAACACTGCTTAGTGGCTTGCTCCCCTGGCTCATGCTCAACCTGCTTTCTTATACGATACAGGACCACCTGCTCAGGCGTGCCCCCCCCCACAGTAGGCTGGGCCCTCCCACATCACTCAACAGTCCAGAACAACCTGCCCAAGGATGGAACTCCCCACAGTGGGCTAGGCCCTCCCATGTCACTCATCTAGAAAATGCCCCACAGGCATGGCCACAGGCCAGTCCAATGGAGGTAATTCCCCAGTTGAGGCTCTACCCAGGTGTATCAAGTTGACACTAAAGCTGTCCAGCACCACCCCCCCAATGGCATGACCCAAACTGTGGGAAGCAGGCCTTAAACACATGGGCATTTGGGGGACACAAGAGCCAAACCATAGCCTGGAGGGAATGATTTTTTAACTAAAGAAAAAGTGTATTTTTTTTTTTCTGATTTAAAGTGGATTCCTAGTAAATGGAAAAGCGGTCATTAATTTACAATGCTTTGTGGATTTTCTTTACACAATTGAGAATAGTTCATATGCACAGGATAGAAAAGTTTCTTGCATTCCAGAGTAGGAACAACACACTTAAATAGACAACCCATAACTTGACGCTTTTACTCTCTCAAAACCAGCCTGAAATGGAGAATGTGTGAGGAGCCCTAACCCTCTTCAACTTGGACAGGGTCCTAGAAGGGGTGCTGGGGCAGTTGGTAGAAGTTGTGGCTACCTCTCTGGCTCCATTAGCCAGCCCAGCCAGGGAAACATCACCATACCTGCCAGCAGGGTGATCTGGCCTGCTTCTCACCATCTTGGGTGTTGGCCAGGTGTGGGCCCATTGCATAGATACACATATGCCAGACTCAACCAATTCAAATGCTTACAAACAAGGATTAGATGAGGGCAGTTCAGAGACCTAGGATCTGTTAACTCCATTACTGTTTCATGTTCCTTGGATATTCATTCCATGCTTAGCAGTTACAGCTCTTGGATGAATTTGTTTATCACGAAACAGACATCGCAGGACAGGTGGCAGAAGGACTCTTGCACATCCCCCCAAGATGACTTGGCTAAATTACTATTAAGCCATGGTTTCCTGGAAGCTTCCTGAACCTTGTTGTCTCATTCACACTAGTTAGGCCATGGAGGAATCGGGAAGAATTGGAAATTAGCCCTGTGTCATGTCCTCTGTGTCTGTCTGTGTGTTGCAGCTGGTGAGTGACCTGCTGGAATTCTGCTTTTATACCTTTCGAGAGTCCCAGGCCCTGAAGGTGGAGTTTCCTGCCATGTTGGTGGAGATCATCAGCGACCAGCTGCCGAAAGTGGAGTCTGGGAACGCCAAGCCCCTTTACTTTCATAGGAAGTGATAGGAGGTGTCAGACTGGAAGAACTTTGCCTTAAGTTTCCCCATGTTGTTCTACACCTATGAAGGACCCAAGAAATCATATTTTTAACATGTGACGGTTGATTCACACTTGTTCAGCAGTTTCTCAAGTTTAAAATCATGTTAAGGGTCTGGAGCCGGGAAAGCCATGGGTTTGGCAAGGCCTGAGCTGGCTGAAAGACTCTTCCCTCTCCACTCCCAGCGCTTAGAAACACGTTCCCGTTCCTCTGGATGAAAAGCCATATCTAGTCAATAACTCTGATTTTGATATTTTAACAGATGGAAGTTTTAACTATGCCATGTAGTTTCTGGTATCTTTTGCTTGTTTTCAAAGGGTTCAAGGACTAATGAACTTTTTAAAGCTTACCCTTGGTTTGCACATAAAATGTCTAGTCAATATGGGGCATTAATATTCTTTTGTTATTTAAAAACACAAAAAAGAAAAAATATATACAGATTCCTGTTGTGTAGTAATGGAACATGTGGTGGGAACTGCGGCCCTGCAGGGCACGTTTTCCTGCATCACTGGCATATACACTCGTTAGCGTCCACTTATTATTTAATTAGAATGGATAAGATGTTAACTGCCTTGGTTTCAATTTCTAGTATCTATTGTGTTGGCTTTACAAATAATTTTTTGCAGTCTTTTGCTGTGCTGTACATTACTGTATGTATAAATCGTGATGGCCTGAAATAAGGTGTGAGGAACTTTTGTAAATGAGACATACGAAAAAAATCTTTAATGGTTAATAGGATGAATGGGAAAGTATTTTTGAAAGAATTCTATTTTGCTGGAGACTATTTAAGTACTATCTTTGTCTAAACAAGGTAAAAATTTTTTTGTAAAGTGAAATGCTCTGCATGCGTAATGAACCGTTTACAGTGTATTTAAGAGAGGGAAAGCTGTGCCTTTTTTAGCTTCATATCTAATTTACCGTTTTACAGTCTCTGTTGTAAATAACCACACTTAAACCTCTTTGGTTGTCTTTAAGCCTTTCTACGTTTTCTCTACTATTTGTTTTGTTTCTGGTCTCCCGCTCGGGGTGTTTGTGAGACTCCAGCACACTGTCTGGCTTCTGCTTCTTCTGCTTCCACTGGGGATGCCACTGCAGTGTCTGCAGCTCCTGGCGGATGTGGTTTGACAGCACCCGCTGGACAGAGGTCATGAGAGTGCTGCAGCTCTAGGAATGCTGCTTTGTCCCTTTCCACAAGAAGCAGAGTCGGCTCTTGGAGGGGGAGACTGGAAATTGGGTGCAGAGAGCACAGTTCTCCTCCCACAATTCTCCTTTGGGTGAAAAATTCCATGCACTCTCTACATCTGTCAGAGATCAGAAAGACATCTCTGGTCTTGGACAGGGTTCTGCACTCCTGGAACTGGTCATGGGAACATAGCTATCATGGCAGGAGGTACTGGGGCAATCCATCTGGGCAACGGTCAGTTAGAATGGCGTGGAGACCCGAAGATCACTAGAGGGTTTTTAGATTTTTTTAAAGGTAGGTTTTAAAAAGAAAATTTTATACATAAACAGTTTTAGAGAAAAAAAAAAAACAAAAAACAAAAACACTACAGATCATGTAAGCAAGACAGTGGCACTAAATTTTTTAATTCATTAATTTGTCTGATGATGCAATTTATGGCTTTTCTCTTGCCCCAAATCACAAACATGTGTATCTTTGGGGAAACTAACAATATGATTGCACTAAATAATCTACTTTGAATAGAGGCCAAATTAATCTTTTGAAAGTGGTTATGATTGTCATTGGTACTCAGTGAAATCATATGAATTCCCAAAACTTAAAAGGTGTAGCTCAGGCCTAAGGCTGGGATGAGCTGCAGGTGGCTCAGCACTTCTCCGTAGGGTTCACCATGCAGGCAACATTACCTTGTCTTTCAAAAGACACCTGCCTTCTGCAAAGGGAAACCTAGGAACACTGAGCGCAGAGGAGAGGGTTTTCTTAATTTGCAATGTCAAATTTTTAATTTATACGCAGATCTTTAAATGCAGTCAACTTATATGCACAGCAATATGAAAGCCACACTTTGAAGGTGATAAATAAATAGCATGCAGACTAGGCATTTCTGGAAAAGAAATAGCTTATGAAAGCAGCTCTGAGTTAACTATGAAATTGGAATTTCATCTTAGCTAGGCTGGAGATGGAAAACGTCTGCATTAGCTTTTTGTATTAACAAAGTTACTGGCTCCTTGCGTGTCTCCAGGTAACTTTGCTTGATCAAACAGCGAAGCCATATTCTCTAAATTCACTGTTGAATGCCTGTCCCAGTCCAAATTGTCTGTCTGCTCTTATTTTGTACCATATTGCTCTTAAAAATCTTGGTTTGGTACAATTCATAATTCACCAAAACTTCATATAATTAAAACAACACTAAATTAGTTTAAAATGAAGCAATTTATATCTTTATGCAAAAACATGTCTGTCTTTGCAAAGGACTGTAAGCAGATTACAATAAATCCTTTACTTTAATCACCTGTTGTTTTGGAAACAGTTCATTTGAATGCCTACTGGTACACCTGGACTTTATACTTTTCCAAATTCTGATTATATGAGCTTCTGCCTACAGCCAAGATGGAACCACTGGGGTTCTACCTGAAGTTAGAAAGAGCTCTGTGTTGCAGCCACGTGTTCAGCTTTCTCTTTGAGGACTGATCAGTTATCTTGATTCTTACTGCTACTGTTCAGTCCACCAAACTTTCCTGTAATACTTGAGTACTATCTATACCACACAGGCACTGCCTCATCTCCACTCCCACAAGACTTTGAGATTCACATGGTGGACCAGCAATGTCCGGCTGACTCCAGAGATCTTCCTCCACTTTTCCCTCATGAGGTTCCCTTGGTCTGTCAAGAGGCTCAGCTCCCTGCAGAACCTGATGGTTACCAACTCCTTATGGGACTCTCCACAACATAGAAACACAAAAAAAGTAATAAGCAATTACCAGTTCATTTTAAACTACAAAACATTTCCTACCAGATAAATTCAAGATAGTTTTCAATGTGTCATTTAATGGGTGACTGTTCAAACTACTTGCTTTCAGAAAGAGAAGCCTATGTGAAAATTAAATCCAACACTGCTTAAACACAGCAGATTAAATTCTGGAACACATAGTGTGGCCACTGACCACAGGCCAGGAAAAGAGTTGCTTGTACAACAGTTTTTTGTAAAACATCTGTGAGAGCAAATTTTTGTGTAAAACTTGAAGAAATTTGACCTGTTAAGGAGCAAAGCTTTTCACAGAGAAGTCCCTACCCATGTGCACACTTGTGAAAGTAGAATCCCTTTCAGACTGAATAGGCTTATTCCTAGGTCAAGTGTGCCTTTATTTCACTCTGAAGAATTTCTCAAAGAATTCTCATGCCAAAATAATTCAGTTCCCTATTAGGAATCACTAGCTGAGAACTACCTCTGCTGCCAGAGACAGCCAGCTACTGTTTACCACAACAGTGAAAATCATGTTTGATACCATATGTAGAATAATAGACTCATTTGCTTCTGTATGTTGAATGCACCCCCAAAGTAAAGTGAAAACGTTTTATGTTAAAGTCCACTCTGATATGCCATTTGATGAATTATGCACATGTACAGAGAGATGACTTAATTACAAATATTTTTAGCACTTTAACATCCCCCATTTGTTAGTGCAGCATTTTTCTTGGAAATAAAACAGTGGTTTGCCAAATAGCATTAAATAAAAGAGCATTAAGATGTGATCCTGACCCTTGGAGTGGGCAGGGCCATCCAAAGCAAAGTGAAGCATGGGGAAAAATAGCAGGCGGTTTGGCGACTGTTGAACAACAGACGATTCCAGAGGTTAGTTCTTTGGTCTGTCTCCAGAGTCTGAGAGTGAGCCCAGGGAGTCTTCTGATTAGGACCAGCCTTGACTGAGTTTCGCTCATTTGTGTATCTGTAATCAGCCTGCAGCTGTCTGGTCTGTGACAGCTTTACTGCATGTAGCCTCTTATCATCCAGCAGGCTAACCTGGGCACAGGCAGAGCTCTAAGAGAGTTGGTGGAAAGGACTAACGCTTTCCAAGCCTCAGAGTTCATCAGGTTTGTGCCTATCCTGTTGGCCAAGCTAAGATCCAAGGTGTCAAGCCCAGTCAAGCTGAGACAGCTCTTAACAGAAGAGCATGGCTCCAGTGAGGGACAAAACACTGGTATTATATCAATCTACCACTCTCAGTTATTCAGACCTTTTGTAGAATGTGTGTTTCCCAGTTTCTTCTAGGTCAAACAAAAACAAAAACATTTCTATGGATTTAAGGCATTCTATTCATGCCCTGACCAGCCTGACTTGGGCTATTCCCACTCAGCTTTGCAGCATTTCCATAGCCACTAACCCTCCAAGGAAGAAATCCAAACACCAACACATGGCACTGAACTATCCAGCTTCATCCCATGCACATCCCCTGCCCAAGTTCAAAGTGCAGCTCCTCCTCTTGTTTGACAATCAGCAAACTCATCTTTGGATAGAAAGCACTCCAGCATATTCTTCTGGCCAGTAGACTGAGGTACTTTCAGACAAGTGTTCAAGCATTAGAATAAGCTGAGTTGCCCAAATGTGGGCACAGTTAAGATGCTGCCCAGACCAGCCAAGGAGAAAGTGACCTGACAGTCATCTGTTATGATGCCTATCTGTGGACACCCCTGCAATAACATCCTTAGAGAGGGGTGGAGAAGTGTGGCTGAAGAAGATTCAAGATGTCATAGAAAACATCTGGTCAAAGAAGAAGTAACCAGGCGTGAGAAAGACTGAGGTGAATGGGGAACGAGGACAAGCCAGGGTTACAGAGGCAAAGAGATGGGGAGAGATGGCACAGTGTGGACTGAGAACAAGAGCCTTTGCAGACAGCATGGAGGAGAGAAGCACAGGTAGCTATGTTAATCAGCTTTGTTCCGGTTGACAAATACCTGGGATGATTGACATTTAAGAAGGAGAGCCTTATTTGAGTCCATAGCTGCAGCAGACTCCATGTGTAGATGGCCAATGCTGGCTTTGGAGCCTATAGAGAAGCATAGCATCACAACAGGGAGCATGTGGTGAAGCAAAGCTGCTTACCTCATAAAGTCCAGAAAATAGAGGAAGGGCCCTGCTCCTTTAGAGCCTGTGCTCAGGTACCTGATTTCCACACACTTAAGTGCTACCTGCTAAAAGTCCCATCACCTCCCAATAGTGCCATATGCTGGAGACCAAGCCCTCAATACATGGGACTTTGACAGACACCCAAGAGCCAAACCATGAGAGTAGCTAGGAGACACTACCTCTTTCCCAACTCTCCATTTACTAAGTTCTTTCCTGCTGTTCATATTCGCCACATTATATTTATTGGTTGTCCCAACATCAAAAGGCACTAGGATTTCTCCGTTTCACAGAAGGAAACTTATGCATTAAAGATTTCAAGTCACTCACCCAAGGTCACCAAGGAACAAAATAATGAAAGCATTTGAAAGTCAGTTGTTTTAACTCAAAACATGTACCTTTGGGATGGGATTATGAGCACTTGTGTTCCAGACTTGAGTCCAATTCCCAGCACCCATGTCAGGTGGCTCACAACCACCTGTAACTCCAGCTTCAGGGGATCTGACATCCTCTTCTGGCCTCTTCAGGCATGTACTTACATATGCACATAAACATAAAAATATTAAAGCAGTCAGTCAGTTTTAGTTTCCTAGAGCTGCTGTGACAAAGTACCATAAACTGGCTGGCTGAAACTGTAGAAATTTCATAGTTTGGGAGGCTGCATATCTAGACATCAGTGCCAGAGCGGTTTCCTTCTGAGGATGCTGAGACAAGGGCCTGCTCTGGGACTCTCTTTGTGGCTTACAGATGGCTGTCTCCTTCCTGTGGGCTTCATGCTGCCTTTCCTCTATATGTACTTACCTTAAGTGTTGAAATTTCCCTTTGTCATAAAGACATCAATCATGGTGGCTCATGGCCCAACCCTGCTGTGTTCCATTTAACAGGTTACCTCTAGAACGATCCTATTTCCAAATGAAGTCACACTCCGACTTATGAGTGATGAGGATTTCAATAGCCATTGTCCAGGACTGGACCCAAGATAACATGGTACATCTGACTAGCTTGAGGACTCTAAGCAAGCACTTGCCTCCATCTTCTCTTGACTCCTCCTGGCCCACACTGTCAATGTATGAGGGGTACACTCCTCCATCACTGCTACATACCTTACGTTCCCTATCTGTATCCCACATACCTGCTGACATACTTGCTGCAGCAAAGGAATGTGGGCCTCACAGCCTCTTTGTTTTGATGTCACCTGGTATTACCTCATGCATGCAGGGCCACCAGGGAAACAGAACGGTTTGGCTGCTCAGGCTCCTGCAGCCCCTGCCCTGAGTTTATCTGGGGTAGAACTGGGCAGTGCTAGGAGAAGAGCCAAGATTGTTTCCGAGCAGATGTCAGCCTCACAGCCCCACTTGAAACAAGCAGCAAATCTGAGCTCTCTTCTGCCCAAACCCCTGCAGCGCTTCTGTCCCACCACAGGTTCAAGACCTAGTGCAAGCAGTACAGCTAGAGATGCTGCTGGAGCTGAGAGATGCTGCTGGTGTCAAGGTTTCTGTGAGGTGGGGTCAGGCACACAGGCCAACAGCCATCCAGAGATGCTCCAAGGATCAGCCACACCCATCTAGAAAAACACAGCAAAACACACCCTCTTTTCTGCAGGAAGATCAGAAATGATCCACCAATGTAACCAAACACTCATGCTCCTATTACTAAGTATATTTTGGGCCCTGCCCAGGGGAAAGCTCCCTACCCCATGGGGATGGCAAGCTGAGCCACATTGCTTGTGGGGCATATTCTGATGGAAACACCCTTGACTCTCCTCTGGCACTACCCTGTTTTCCTCCAGATAAACACAGGGTGGGTCTGCAGCTCTTGAAGCTAGAAGCAGCCTATGCAACTACCCCAGGGCATCACTGCTGTCCCCCTGGTTTCTCACAGCAGATTGGCCCTGACAGCAAAGGTGCAAGTCAGGTCACAACAGTAATATCAAAGGGACCAGCAGTTCCCTTTACTGAGCACATGGCACATCCTGGACCCACTGCTTTTATTCATTGATTTCAACCTCATAACTCAGGGGTATGGTTTTCCTTTCAGGAGGCAAGGGCGGAATCATGGAGATAGCTAGACTTAGCTGTGACTTACATAATCAAGTGGTCATAAGGCACTTTGAAGGGTGCATTCCCCTCTGAACAATGGAATCATTCAAGCCAGCAAAAAAATCAATTCCTGACTTGGTATAGTAAATAATTTTTAATACCCCTTGGGGACATACCAATTAGCACTGCTGGATATCTCAGAGTCCTGAGTTCACTATATACCTGCCCAGTGGACAACCCTTGCCTACAAGCACTTTCATAAAGTAGGTCATAACAAGAAACGACAGCTCAGAATGCAGGGCACTTAAGGTTCTACTTCCAGGGCCAAGCCAGTCGGGCACAGACCTCAGGAAAGCTACTGCAGTAGAGTCCTGAGCTCCTCAGGATACTCAATACTCAACAGGGCCCATGGTTTGGTGTCGTATGTGGTACTGAAATGGGCCTTATTTTGTCCTATAGGATAGACACTCAACAAACACATAATCCCTAGCCTCCTATGACCCTGCTAGTCAGCTTTCTGTTACTATAACAAAATACCAGAAATGATCAACTTGTTAAGTTTTGGACGCTGAATTTCATGATGGATGAGCCTCACTGCTTTGGGCCTGTGGCACAGCAAAACATGAGCACACAGCAGGACAAACCATTCATAGCTAAGACAAAAAGAAAGGGAAGGTCTTTTTCCCCTACAGAACTAGATGAGTCTGCTTTTCAGGTTGGATTTGGAGTTTAGGAAGAACAGAGCAGGGATACTGTGCTAGAATGGCATGTGGCTCCCCAAGGACTGACCTGGGTTCTTGAGCCGCTCGTGTGGTCCTCTTAAGACCTGGCTTCATCCAGCTGGGGCATGAATGCTGAGGCCTGGAGACAGGGACAGGCTGGGTGGTATGGAAGAGATCTGCCACCAGCGGGGCTGCAGCTCACATACATACAACTGCAGCCCTGCCCCATCCCAATGGCGTCCTGGGGAAAAGGCCTGAGCAGGAGGCTGGAAATCCTGAGGGATTTCACATCAGAGAGGGCCACTGCCATTCCTGCTGCAAATAAGCTAGGCTCTCCATCAATAATCCTACCTGGGAAGGCCACCATTCTTACCATGGCTGTCAGTCCATGAATCAGCTCAGGGGGAATGTACTTACCCATCTCTCCCCACATTAGGTCAGACACACCAAATAGTAAATTACATTTTATTTCATTTACAGAGGGGCTCTGGGGTAACAAGGTGGCACAGGGCAAACAGCGTCCAGGTGAGGAGCACCTGGAGAAGGCTGTGGTAAGCATATGTATGAACTCAGTGCAGCTGCCGTGAGCAGGCCAAGCGGGATGGGGAGACATGGAAAAAGCTTCTCTCTGCTTCCCTCCAGGTTGACCAACTCCCCTGCACAACAGCAGTCCTCTGCACACCTCAGCTACCAGGGCCACACATGCCCTGCACACACAGTGCAGGAGCAGTACAGTTCCCTTTAAAACCCAAGAGCAGGTACATGCAGAGCAGGATCCTCCCAGGTCAGTCTGGTGGTGCGGCTGCTGGTGAGGGCTGCCCTCCCTCTGTTTCACAGGCTGGATAATCAAAAACCACAAGTCCCAATGCCTGCCAGACAAGAATCCATTCGTCCACACTGGCCACGCTCTCCTCATGCACACATCTGCCCTGTCCTGTGCCGTGCGTTCCACCCTCCTCCCCAGCCCTGGAGTGCCCATGGTGATCTGAAGTTCCTGAGCGTGGCTATGGCATGTGGGTGCTGCCCCCAGGCGGTGCACAGGTGCCAGGATGAGCAGGGGCCCTCTGAGGCCAGGAGCTACAGCAGCTTGACGTAATTCTGTGGAATCAGCCCTCTCTTGCCATTCAGGGTCCCTTCCAGCCAGCCAGGTTCCCTCGAAGTTTGAACTGAAAAGGAAAGGAAATCACTTTTACAAGTTTGCCCCCAGTAACTGCCCTGGGTGCTCACCACACTACAGTGTTTCTTGCAGACCCCACCATGGAGTGGCCAGTAGAAAATGGAGCTACTTCAGGAACATCTAACAATAAAGCTGGCATGAAGGTTACTGATGATGGGTTCTGCCCAGGGTTGGCCACTACAGTGTTCACCTATCTTCCTGTAACAGGCTCTGGTCCCTCAGCTTCCAATCAGGCTCTTTCTAATTTGCTGTGCACAATGCTGCTCAGTGAACTCTCCAGAATGAAGAGCACACCATTCTCCTGTTTCAAGTAAAACCAAGCTTCTTATTGGCCTAGGATGGGGTCCTGCCTACCACTCCAGCAGATCCTCCACGCCTTACTCCATCATCAATTTCACCTGAATCATCCAGATAAATCCTGACTGGGATTCCAGGGCCTTTGTACATGCAATACTGGCTGCCTGGAATGCCTTTCCCCTACTTCTTCACCAGGTAACTCTTTTGCTTTAGACCAAGGGGACAGCCTCCCCTGAGGTAAGTCTGCCTTGGTGCTTACCACCACTCCAGACATCAGCCAGGCAGTGGTCTCACTCCCACACTGCATGGGGCCACTCTTGCAGGCAGACCTGAGCCTTACACATATGAGCACAGTACCTGATACACTTCAGGTGTCCATAAACACTTATAATGGACACATGAGAATGCCCAGGCTGGATGGCAAAGGCCACAAGGCCCAGGTCCTCAAACCAGGGTTTGGAAATCAAATACAAAAGTAGTCAATGGATCCCAGCTAGCTAAGGCCCCAATGATGATCAAGAGTAACAGTCACATATCTCAAAGGAGAGGAAGTGCTTTCCCACAAACCAATCCAGAAGCCAGCCCTGAAATTCAGCTTCAGATCATAACCCACAAGAATTATTTTATACCAAAAACTAAGTTTAAGTGCACACAGCACACAGTCTGGTGAAGCAATGTTCTTACCATGTGTGATGCTGTCCCTCATCCTATTGCTTAGTGATTGTCAACTGCAATTCAGCAAGTTGTGGCCCATTCATGTTTGGAAGACACTGATGATCAAATTCTAATTTTCCTTTTCACTGAGGTCACCATCTGTTCTCTCCCTTGGAAGAAATAAGCTGCATGCTGCTACCTGCATTACCTTGGCTTTCTGATACATCCTTCTATCTGCCAAACTTCTCCCTTGGTCCTGAATGCTCCTCACTCCAATCCCAACCATGCCTGAAGTCCAGAATTAAACTGCAGTTATCGGCTTTGCCCCTGTTCAGACCAGATGAGGGGCCTCATGCCCTAGTGTGTCTAAGACCCCGGGAGTACAAGACTAGTCTAGGCCACAACAGAAAAGCATCAAATATACGTATGAGATCTCATGTTCCCTGGTACCTAGCCCAATGTCTCACATGCTGTCATTTTTGCAGTATATAAGCAAATTAATGTAAGATGTGCTTTCATGTGAACTGACAGCAATTTACTTTCTTCATTCCCTCAGTGACCTTTTCTCTGACCTTGTTTCTAAGGGCAAGATTTTTTTTAAGGTTTTTTTTGCTTTTTATTTTAATTTATTTTATATGTATGAGTGTTTTGACCGCATGCATGTAAGTGCACTCATGTCATGCACTGTCCATGAAGGGCAGAAGAGGGAGTTGGATCCCCTGGAACTGTTCTGGTCAATTGTTAGTCTAAGGACAATGTTTTTGAAGACTTTATCTACACTTTCTTTCAACCAAAAGCTATTCTCCAGGATGTGGCCCCTGGAGTGTGAAGAAGCCCAGCGCTAAAGTCAGAGGCCTGGGGGTGGTGAGGAGACTGCATCTGGGAATTCCTTAACCTTTGTAAGTTTATGCAGATCTGTCCTGCATGTGCTCACTGTTTTTGGATGCATGTGTGCTCGTACACACGCACGCACGCACATGCACATGCACACAGAAACTAGGCATTAACAGAAGGCTAATGGAAGACAAAGAAGGCTGATGTCCAATTGTGGTGAAATGGATGCATGAGTAGGAAACTAGAGCTGGGCCAGGCATCTACAGATTCTGCAGGATCCTCCAGTCCTCAATGAAAGGTCAGATTCAGTCAAGGAACCAAGGAGACTTCTGTAATACCCAAGAGCCAGGATGTACTCAAAGGAGGGTACGTGGGATAGGATGCAAGAGTCCTGAATGCCAACAGCTTCCAGCCATCCCTCAACGCCAAAAAGGTGGCATGGATGAGGACTGAGGGGATTTCCCACCCTCTGGAGAGCATGCCCTCTCATGTCCATCTCAGGTTCCTGTCTATACACAGTTTATCTCCAGTGTTATGGTTAATTTTATGTGTCCATGGTGTCAAGGCCATGGTACCCAGCTATATGGCCATTGATGTAGATGATTCTGTGAGGTTCTGTCAATATTTTAGATGTTTAGATATAATGATCCAATCAGTAGACTTGGTAGAATTGCCAGCCCCATAATCCATAATCACATGACCCAATCGCTTAAAATAAATCAGCCACCCTTCTACCACCTCATACCACCTGTTTCATTCTCTCAACAATGCTGACCATGCAGGCAGTTTCTAAAGCTGTTTGTTTGTTGTTGTTATTTTTAATTAAAGCACCTCATCTCAGGAGTGTAATGGAATAAGATGGATTTTCAAGGCTCCAAGGTCAAGATCATGACTGAACCTCCCGGAGCCTCAGCATTCAATTTTCAAGGAGGGTCAGCGATAGCGGACTAGAAACTGTTCTAAGCATTACAAAACGAGAAAATTTCTGTAACTCTTGATGCTCCTGCCCCAATATTTCCAGGCCATACCCCAAATAGGGAAATACATTTATATGTCAAGAGCAAAATAAGACGGCTGGAGAGATGCTCTATCAGTAAGGTGCTTGGCAAGACAAGCATAAAGACCCGAGCTTGAGCCCCAGCACCATGTGAAAAGCTTCCTATGGTGGCACATGCTTATGATTCCAGTTCTGGGGAGACAGACATGAGAATCCCTGGGACCTGCTTGGCAGCCAGTCTAGTCTAATTGGTAAGATCCAGGCCAATGAGAGAATCTGTCTCATAGGAGACAGACAGTGTTCCTGAGGCTGATACCTGAGTTTTCCTCTGGCCTTCACATCACATCATTATCATATCACCTCTCCCTCCCCCACCTCTCTCTCTCTCTCTCTCTCTCTCTCTCTCTCTCTCTCTCTCTCTCTCCCACACACACACACACACACACACACACACACACACACACACACACAGCATTATCCATGTACACTCAACCTGTGGATACTGAGCATGGATCTGTATACCCAAGTCATATCAGTAAGGCTACTCTGTGGACTCCCCAGTCAACACTCAGTCTGCCAGTCCCTTCCTGTCTTTTCCTGGACCTGTGTGCCATGCTCTACAAACATTCTTTGGAGTTGGGGGTGAGGGCACAAGGTATCTTCATTTTCTCTGCATTGCTACTTAAATGACTTCCCTAGTTTGGAAAGTCATATGGTGGCATGTGACCATGTTGCTGCACCAAATACTAGCTTAAGGAACACTCAAGCCAAAAAAATAATCTTAAGTACCCTACTCTTAAAAAATTCCAGCAAGTCAGATCTTCATGACTGTATCAAGACTGCAGAGCAGATACCTAATGGGAGGAGCACAGCAGGGCTCCCAGCTTCTGGGCTGGCAGGTACTTCCTGCCTCAGAGCTGCTGATCCAAGCTGCTTGGCCATTACATTGTCCAGGTGGGGACGTATGTGAAGGTCCAGAAACTATGACACACTGAAACCAGAAGCTCGGGCTGCAGAAGCAGTCTTTTTTTGGAGATTTTGCCTTTTCCAGAAGCACTGCTCACAGCTGGAGCAGCCCCCAGACACATCTAAAAGAGGAAGCAGAGAGTCACAGGGCAGGAGGGCACTAGGAATCTGTGTGGCAGTGCTGGCTCTTTTTGGAAGAAAGAAGTTATTTTTAATCACAGTGTCTTTAAGGAAACTCAAAGCTCAGCATGATTTTGACAGGTATCACTTAGGGTTCCCATTGCTGGATTCTGAATACTCCTGGGAGTGCAGTCTCAGGCTGCAGGGCATGGAGCTCCTGCTGCTGCAAAACTGGCCCCATCTTCTCTAGATCCTGCTGCACATGCCATCCAGGGAAGGTAAAGCAAAATGAGGCCCAAAGCTCATCTGCAAAGACTCCAGAAGTATCCGTTCACTCACTCATCCCTTCAGTATGTCAGGGCAGGGCCAGTGTTGGCAGGGGCCCCTATGCAGCTGTTCTGGAAGGGCAGAGTGACCTGGTGGAAGATCCCAAAGGATCTCCTCAACAGAAAAACTATACGCATGGCAGGCTGCTGGATGTTGATTTTTTACGAGCAGAAGATGCAGCAATCTGGTTCCTGCCATTCCCCATGGGCCTTTTCTCATGAGCCATATTCTGCACGTAGATACACATAAGGACAAGAGGTCACCAGGAGACCTACCTATTGTCCTTTTGGTACTAACTTAGTTTATTTCACTTAGCATATCTTCAAGATTCACCTGTATTGTACAAACATCAGAAATTCTTTGCATGGCTTCATGATATTCCTATTTATGTGCATACCACATTTTGTTAATCCCTGTAGCTGCTGATAGACAGCTGGGTTGTTTCTGCCTCTGGGCTACTGTGAACACTGCTGCTATGAACACTGCTATACAGGTGTTTGCTGGCTCCCTGCCTTTACTTCTCTTGGCTACATACTCAGAATTGGATTGCTGGGTCATATATGATTCCATTAATCATTTTTTGAGGAGGTACTAAGTTATCGTCTACAAGGTTGTACAATTTATACCCCAATAGCAATGCACAGGGGCTCCTGTTTCTCCACATCCTTAACAATTACTCATATCCTCTCTCTCGCTCCCTCCCTCCTTCCCCGTCTCCCTCTCTCCCCACCTCTCTTTTTGGAATGGGTATGAAATGGCATCTCACTGTGGTTTTGCCACATCATTCCATCATTTACTACTCTGTAACAACATGAACCATGGAGCTGCTAACACTGCTTTGTGTGAAGCTTTATCCATAATAGAATTTAAACTCGGGCCTTTATGTTCTAGCATAATGTAAACTATACCTTCATGACAAATATTTAGAATCTTGAGGCTTCGACATAATAAAATCCCACGATCACAGCCTCAGCTTTGGAAGTACAACATGGCCCGCATGCAGGCATGAGTCTGTGAGCTCTGTCCTGTCTCTACACCTCACTCCCTTCCCTGCCCAAGGAGACCAGGGGCTCAAACATTAAATTTCTCATCCTCCTTCCTGAGCTATACATTTATTACACAAGTCTACACCCCAAATAATATCCTATTGCTTATTTCTGAATTTCAGAAATGATAGGCATTCCTGGCACTTCACATGTTTTTTATGGTTCCCTTGTGTTAGGAATGCATCTGGAAAGAAAAGTGCAGGGCGGTGAGGTCCACATATGATCAACTTTCCAAGAGAATGCCAACCAGCATTTCAAGGATTACTCTGTGTATTTGAGATCTTTAAAGTTTAATCACTAGAGACTTTTAAGGATTAATCTGAGCCACACCTGCTGCCCAAGCTGTGGAGACACTGTTTCTACATGTAGAAGCCAAACAAGAGCCTGGGCCCCACAGAGCCTCTGGCCTCAGCATCAACTACGGGCAGCTTGGGAAGACCACTATTTCCTACCTGACTAAAAGGCCTAGCAGCCTCAGGGTCACAAATCAAATGCAATTCTGGGGTTCCTTGAGCCCAGAGGAAAGGGGAAGGTCACCCTAACTTTAACAAGAACATTGCCTGCCCTGACACCACACAAGCACACCCCTTTCTGGTGAAGCATGGGGAGCATTTCCCCAGAGCTACAGAAACTTGTCTTCAGCCAAGAACTTGAATTCATAACTTAAATTCCGGCCCTCCCAGCAAGAACAAAAAGCATGAAGAATTATAGAGTGGCATAATTAGCAAAGATTCCTTTCCTTTCCACACTCTGGTTTAGGATTCCTCATTGTGTCTATTCCAAACCCTAACTATTGACAGCAGAGCCCAGGGTCATTCCAGGCCACTGATTGTCACAACTTGTTTCTGTTGTTGCCTGTAATACAGAAATAGATTACACTGCAGAATCCTTTGTGAGTGCTGGAAGATTCTAAATTGTTAAGTGGACACAGGAAAACTGTCTTGGGTGTCTCTGGGATGCTAAGTGTCACTGGTCTGAAGCAAGGGAGTGTTCCTGGCAACACCCCTGCAGAACGAGCTGTAAATAGTGGCCGCTTGGAGCCATGTCTGACTCTACAAAAGGTAACGCTGCATGACTTGCCTGTCTGTCTCATATTTTATTTGTTGTCAGAAGACCCTAACATCAAGGGCTTAACTGACATGTTCTGAGAAAGTACAGAAACCAACTACACACAGAAGATAAAGGTGCACATAGCAACTGAAAAGCACTCTGCTAAAGGGCTTCAACTTACCATGGCCTTTAAGAACTGTCCCTAAGGAACAGCAAGTCTCACTGTGCCAACTCTGAAAACTTTCCACTGAGTTCATGTGCGCCACTAGGAGAGACTTGGAAAGGCACTGGTAAGACACAGATCTCACAGAAAATGAGGTGTCTACATATTTGGGTAGGTAGAGGGTGTCAGCATACCAAGCAAACATTTTTGAAATACACAGCCTTGGGGGAAGGACTAAGAAACTACCAAGACACCTTTGGATGTCCCAGCCAGCATTCTAGATAAAGCTGGCTACCAGTACTACACGGAACCACACCTGAGAGAGATTCAACCTGGCTAAAACCAATGACACCTACAGCACATGCAATGGGTCCAGTGTGGTATGACAGCCAGCAACATGTCCCGAGTGTCTATGATGTTCAAAACTCTGTCTTCTGGAAGTTCCCTACATCATCTTGACACATCCTTGCAGACTGAGATGAAGAACTTGATATACAGATACAGGCTCCATAAAAAGTAAAGGGGCAAGCTCTGCTATCAGAGTAACTGCAGAGTTGGCAATGCAGAATTAACTACTGTAGACACTTCCTCCTTCAAAAACAGAGATCTCTGTGTGTGTGAGAGAAAGAGAGACAGAGACAGAGAGAGACAGAGAGAAAGATAGAATATCTCTATGTACATGCATATGTATATATGAATATACACATACTTTCTGACTCCTTTTTCAAAAAGATTCCTGAAAGTCATCAAGGGCTTTGGAACTGGAGAACTTGGGCCTCCTGACTCAGTCACCTCCTGGCCTTTCCTCTTTCATCCATGCTGGCAGACTGAGATTTGGTTTAGAAAGATACAGGCCTCATTTACATAGCTGTATGCCCAAAGAAGGTGTCGTGTATATAACATGGCTCTCACTGATCTAAGGGGGATCTCACTCATCCTCAGGCGGACAAGTCTAGAGTGAGCATTTGGCTCAATTCTGACCAAAGAGATGTGAAGGCAGCTAAAACTTGGAAGAAAGTTCTGGAAAAGTTTTCTTATTATAAAAGGAATACAAAGATGAGACACCCCCTTTTGCTAGAGGTATATGTGGCCTGGAACTCTAGCCATTTCCCACCTCTTAGGAAGAGCACAACAAACACAAATCTCCAACTGCAAACATTCAGCAAATATATAGGGATACTTTGGTCTTGATGACAGCTTTAATTAATCAATCCTGGAGCACACACTTATAGTCTTATCATGTAAGTCAACCTGTGATGGACTTAGCTGTACCTGTGTATTACTTAACATTCTAAATGTAAGACACCTACTGATAACCTTGTAAGACACACCTACTGAAGTTAACTATCTCTCAAGCAATACACAGGCTCCTATACAGACTTAGTTACACAAAGTAAGAATTCATCACCGTTTCAACACTACAATTTCAGCTTTCCCTTCTCTCAGGTGCTGTTCCAACATGTGACAGGCCTGGAGTAAGGCAGCTGTGTGACCACACTCTCATGGTAAAATTATCTGCACATATGTTATGGTGATATAGAATGATCTTATTGCCACTCCAAAAACAATCTTGTTGTATGAGGAGTGTGGTTGTTTTCTGATGCTACCAGGAGTCTCTGTCTCTCAGGAGCACATATCACGCATATATAGAAATTTATTCTAAACGAGGCAACTTGCTCTCTAAAAAAGCAACCCTAGCAAATGCTGCATTACTGACAGTACCACTGTGACTGTGGCGATGTGCCCCATGGACTCTATAAACAGTCTGCTAATGGGCCGTTCTGTCTCAGCATCCAAGGTTCCCTGCTTCTAGGAGCTCTTCCGGGAGCTCCGCCCACACTCAACATCACTGTTTCCACAGCAACCAATGAATTTCACAATGAGCTGACTAGGGAGGGGAGGAAATCAAGAGCAAGGGGCAAAAATGCATTCACTAAACCATACAAGAAATTGTGAAATGTTAAAGCAGGTACAGCTCCTAAATGTCTGTGTATGAATATTAATTACTCAAATAAAAATACACACACACTTAAAATGCAAAGTCATTATTGTTATCTGGAGATTCACTGTTCAAGCTGGCAAAAATGTAAAGCACAAGAATGGTGCAGGAGAGAGAAACCAGAGTGTTTTGAGAACAGGACTCCTCAGTGACAACCCGAAGCCTGGTTAGGGATGAACTGAGAAAACAAAGGCTGTGACTCAGAAACATTTAACTCCAAGTGCCTCTTCTCACCAGGAGAAATGACCTGAATGAAGATCCACATGGGTTAAAGTGGTTGGAGAACAGCCAAGAAACAGGAACTGCTGTATCCACCATCAACACATCTTCTGGAGCACAGGCGGGCGCTAGAGCCAAGTAAGTCGGCTCTACAAGCCACAGCATCAAAATACGGCTACAGCCAGTAACTGGGCCTCTGCGTGGCAGATATCCAGAGAAGACAGGAAGTCTCCCACCACAGAGCTCCAGCTAACACTTACCATCCTCGAAAATTGCTCCTATTTCAAAGGATAATTCCGAGCTGTGTTCTGCCTCACATGGGTACACTGCGCGGGCCTTGCGATTGATAACGCTGCAGAGAGAACACAGAAGACTTGAATGAAACACTCGGAAACAGACCCCTCACAGACCTGTCCCTCATTTACATGCCAAGAGCGGGGCAATGCCTTCTAAAGAAGAAATGACAAGGACAGGAACATCAAGTACAGCCACAGCGCTAGATTTTCAAGTAAATGATAGGTTTCCAATACAAACCTTTCCCTACAGAGCCTCCCTGAGAAGGTGACAGTGAGCCAGTTCACCATAGTCTCCTTCCTCCCTGCCTGGTGGGATGTCTGTTCCCACTGCTCAGCCTTGTGGGAAGCATGGGCTTGTTACCTCTGAGTACTTCTTCTGTGCATTATGGACAGTGATGGGAAGAGGCATGCACATTAAGTGGACTGCCAGCTGAGTCGGTGTGTGATACCTACCTGCCCTCACAGCACTCTGGAAGGAGCTGTCATCCTTTCTTAGGTTTTCTCTATCGAGACCATTCTGTCCCCAAAAGGCACACAAGGCTCAGCTTCTCTTGACTTGTGTTCTGAGCCCCCATGAGAGAAGGACACAGTGGGAAGGGAGGGGTGCCATACTCGGCCAGACCTAAGCCGAGGGAGAAGGAAATGCTCTGCCCTTCTGGAAGCAGGGCAGCCACTAATGTTAAGAACCATGCCAGTAGGTTTCACAGGGCTCCAGATACCACAAATTCTTCTCAAGAACCTGCAGCCAGTCCTACCTATCCAGTAGGACTCACATCTTCATGTCATCCAGCCATGAATTTAAAAAAACTGTATTTGCAATGTGCAACATCTGCAGGTTTTTCTTTCTTATTATTCCCCAAACAATACATATAGTAACTATTTATACAGCATTCACATTATATTAGGTATTGTAAGTTATCTAGAGATGATTTAAAGTGTACAGGAGGGTAAGTGTAGGTCATATGCAAATACTAACGCATTATACATGAAGGACTAGAGACAGGTATAAGGGGTCCTGGAACCAATCCCAACCATGCCAAGAGATAACTGAACTTGCTTCTGAGCTGAGGCCCAGCCCTGATACAAAGTTGCCCATCAATGCCAGAGAATCCAGGCCAAGCATTTTCCAGCAGAGAGCACAGAGTTGTTGAGCCCCTTTTGTGTGTCACCACTGTATTCCATGTCACACCCCAAATCACATACCATTCTGGCAGCTTGTCCACAATGGAGGCAGCAGGAGAGAGGGGGAATGGTGATGACCTGGGTGAAGGAGGTGTAAGGGCTGGGCTGGAACTTGGTGTGGTTGGAGACTGCAGGTTTAGCCACTGCACCATAGATGGTCGGGTCTGGCTTGGCCTAAGGATGCAAGTTTGAAGGACGAGATTAATAGAGTAAAAACCCAGAATACCAGGTGTACAACAGTCTCAGCCCAGATAGCAAGGGTGCCGTCTCCAGACCATGTCTCCAAACCACCAGGGACAGAGTCCTCTCCACACCCTCCCAGGACTGTAACCCAAACCGCTCCAGAACTAGCTCCATCTCAAACCAGAGATACCTTATTGAATTTCTCCAGGTTTGTGGAGAATCTGATCTTGTGTAAACTAACACCATTATATGTTGGCCAATTTGAAAACAAATGCTCAAAATAGTGGTTTGGACTTCTCATATATAGATGTCCCTTGATGACAATGGGGTCACCTTATAATAAACAAACCCACTCAAGATGAAAATACTGTAAACTGAAATTGCTTTTACTGCTTTACACTGATAAACTGAACACTCTACGTTAGCAACACAGAGTACCATAGAATCTGGTGGATGCCCTTGGGATCACATGGTTGCCTGGAACTTGTAGCTCAAAGCTTCTGCCCAGCACTGGCCAGTACCACCTACCACCAGCCCAATAAAAGATCAAACCTCAAAACAGTTGCTACCAAATGCATATTGTTTCCTCACTTTCATTAGTTCAAACCCCTAAAGTTAAACCTTTGTGTATTGGAGACCTGTCCTTATCCATTTCTTCTGCTTACAATAAAAGTCACAAAAATTTAGTCAGATGCATGGCCGATAGCTGACAGAGACCAACATACAGCACTGTAATGTTGAAAGCTCTTTCATTTGGTATTTACCCATGGGAACTCAGAAAAACTTTGCTACCAACAATCAAGATTCCTCCAGAAAGAACAAGAATCTAGAGTTTTGAAGAAAGATCAGTGAACTGCAATCTTTGGTGTTTGGGCATTCTTTAGTTTTTCCAAAGAGGACAGTGAACAAACTCCTGGAGGAGTGTGGCACCCTTGTGATTATCTGATCACATAAACATGCCAATGTAATTAGTCAGCAATTAGATATGGAGTTTCGTAACTATGGTATACAAAGTTTTCTTTCTTTTTTTTTTTTGGTGGGGGGATGTTTTTCTGAGACAGGGTCTCCTGTAGCCCCAGTTGGCCTGGAACATGCCTGTAGCCCCAATTGGCCCCAGTTGGGTCTCCCTGTAGCCCCAGTTGGCTATGCAGACCAGGCTAGGGTTGAACTCATAAAGATCTGCCTGCCTCTACCTCCTGAATGCTGGGATTTAAAGTTATGTGCAACCATGGCCAACTACAAGTTTTCTTTTAAAAAATATTGGGAAGTTAAGAACACTGACTGTTCTTGCAGAAGACCCAGGTTTGAATCCCAGCATCCACATGGCAGCTAACAACTGTCTGTAACTCCAGTTCCAGGGGATC